TACCATAACATTTTAAATAAACTTATTAACGAGTTCGTCAATCGATAGAAAACCCATTTCAGACAGACTTGGCTTTAGATAAATTATGACATAATATATTATTTATTTTAAAATTAATCCGTTTTTAGATGCATAAAATCCCATTTGTAAAATGCAGTATTTAAAGCCTAAATGCAACTCCATTTTGGGGCATTACTATCGGCCGTGTTCTGGATAGGAAAAACAAGATACACCCCGCCGCAAATTGGCTAAGCGGCGGCGGGTAATGGCAGGCGGCAGGAGAGGTGCATGTTCTACCGATTAACATATCCGGCGCTTATACCTGTGCACATTTGTACATAGCCACAAACATTCAGTTTGCTTTTATATATGCGAATGGTATGACTGCCTCTTTTTGTTGTGCTTTTTTGTAGCGTCTGCCTAGCGCCATCTGATTGTCTGGCTGCATGTTCGCCGGCCATATTAATAATTCTCGAGGCGCTTTTTTTGATTTAGGGAGCATTTAAAGCGTGAACGACTGCATCAATAATTTCGCTTGCAATTTTATTGTGCATAAATTTCATTAATTTATAATTTTGGCCGTTGCCGGGCTGCTGCGGCTAACATCCGACCCGCTGATCGCAGTTCGCTGTTTGTTGCTGGTTTGCTGTTGCTGTTTTTTTTTTCTGTTTCTTGTGATTTCTGCTGCCTGCTGCCTCCGCGCGGAGCATGGAGCATGTTGCGCCAATGTGTTGCGCGGTCCGTCGACTGGGGCATAAATTATTTTCCGTAGTTTTGGCAGGCGCCCGATGACCGCGCGCTGCGTAGATCTCGCGATTTCGCGATTGCGCATGAGGTGAGGGTTATTCATTTGCCTGCGTAGTGGACGGACTCCATCCCCAGCACCACCACCGCCAGCATCAGCACGAAGCTTCAGCTTCAGCTCCAACTCCAGCCACGTCTCGTTTCCATCTTCGCCTCGCATCTCTAGGGCCTCTGCTCCTCTTCGGCACAAATCTGTGACCGCCTGTGCCGAAACTCAGGCACTGTGCAAAAAAAAAACTATAAACTTTTAGAAATTATATATTTTAAAGTTTAAATGCTGAATAATGTTATTAATTTAAATTAAAGGTTATGTATGCATCTTTATTTTTTGTCATTTCTAGATAAGATTACAATTGTTTCAGTTTCCTTTTCCCGTGTTTAGTATGTTGCTGAATTCCTACTTGGGAATTTTAGGAGCATTTCCTGTGAAAACTTTTATGCTTTACGTTGGAAGACCTGAGAGGGTTTAATTTATTTAACTCTTTTTCATAATCGAAAGAACTTGAACACCTGAGTTTCAAATCTCGCAATTCCCTTAAGAACCCCTACAATATTTCTCTCAGTGCACACACACATTACTGATGTGGCTGTAGAAGGAGTATATGCAGTTGTTTGCCGGCTGGGAAGTTGTGGATGTTGTTGTCGGATGCTGGGGCAAAGAAGCTGCAGGCTTTCATTGAGGAACTCGCGATTATGCTCGGACTTAAGCTTATGCTGGTTGTATTCCTACTCCGACGCGGACTCATCGAACTCGGGATTCGGACTCGCATTTGTACGAGTATTTTTGGCCGGATCAGAGAGCTCCGAGAGTCCTGCAAGCAACGAAGGCCAGGCGGGCAGGCGGCGAACCCGGCATGTCGCCTGCAAATGTCTTCGGTTTCTGGATGCGCAGTTAATTATAAACGCTTGGACATTTTCGCTTGACTTGGTGCAGCCCAGCTCTTCGCCTCGCTGCGCCGAGTCTCGGTTTGTTTTCATTTCCAGATGCAGATTACATTATGATTTATGCAAAATAGTAAATGCGTCTGATGGCAACATGCGCCAGCTGCCAGACACGAACTCGGGGTTCCTCATTGGCCTCATGTTCGAGTGCAGCCATCGCGATCGGTTTGCAATCGGAATTGGATTTGGAATAGGTGGAGTAGGGATAGGAAATATCGGAATTAGAGGACGGACAGCCAATGCCGAATAACCAAATGGGAGCAGGAGCTGGAGCAGCAGCAGGAGGAGTATTTAGCATCCCCGCGACTTTTATTCGAGGCCAATCGTAAAGCAGCGTCCTCCACTGGCCGCCAATAAATCAGGAGCGCCATGAAGCGGCCTCGTAAAAGTGCTTAAATTAATCATCCCGAATGTGTGTCCCAGGGTTTACGATCCGGCCCCGTGGGGCGTCGCCCCGAGGGAGCAACAGGTTGCCCCCGCTAAGCGCCATCCATCCCGATCATAGGCACCATAAACTTGGCCCTAACTGCCCTCGGGATGGCTGGCATTTTGCATAACGAGACATGTATGTCCGGCTAGCACCACTATCTGTGTATCTGTATCGGCATCTGAACTTGTATCTGCATCTGCATCGGCTTGAGAACAACCACAAGCCCTGTCGTCGCCGGAATGTCCAAGAGGAAATGGCCAAGGCGCTTTATTAAATACTCACTTTGATTTACTGGTCCAGCCCGGACAAACGGAAAATTGCACATGAAATTGCATTGTTATTACATGTTTGGGTCAGCGCAAATTAAATTCCATATATACCCTATATATTCCATATAGAAAAGCAATCTGCCACAGCCCGGCGTCGAGTGTATTTATTTTACAGAGATCGCGTACGTGACAAGATGGCCGGGACAAGATGTTTAACAGCGAAAATGTGGTGCAAGTTTCCTGAAAGAAGAAGGCATCCAGGATCGGGACAGCTCTCTGGTCTCTGGGCTACCCGAAATGCACTCAGAATCGCTATTAAATTAGTTTAGTGGCATTTAACTTAATCGCCTACAAGGGAGTTAAAATTTCCCGGGTACGGTGTGTTGTGGTGTCTGCTTGGTTTCTCGGTTTCTTGGTTTTCAGCTCCGAGAGTCTCGAGACCAAAAATTGGGCGGACGTGATTCGATTTTAAAGAAGCTCCCTGGCCTGATGATGGCAACAAGTGCTTTCGTCTTAATATCTTTGAATAGGCCACTCTCTCGGTGATGGCCCTCTTGGCAGGCAGCGCGGCATTAAGGCCTAACTGCTCACGTCATCACCCAGCGCATAGCCGAACCAGCCAAGACACCGATACCCGCATTGGCCAAATTGAGTTGTGCATCAAAAAAGCGACGGGTCCCCGGGGAAAAGTGCAACTGAACTGCATCGTGATGTCAGCAATGTGATACTGCTGCAGCTTCATCTCCTCCAGGTTCTCCTCATCGCGCTCCTTCGATACCGATATTCCTGATGCGTATTGCCTGCTTAGTCCATATTCTTTGCATAAATCTCACCGATGTCCCCGCTCCAAGGACCGGGGCTTGTAATTAAATTGCGACACGAGGCAGCTAATGGCGCCACAACATAGATTCGCAGGCAAACAAGCAGCCGGCATATGCATACAGACATGCACTGCGAAAAATAAATTAAATTAAAAATTGGAGAAAATGTTGTTACTTAAAAAAATAAATAAGTTTGTCCAGGGATGCCAAAAATCCACGTTTTAATGGATTCAAAAACAATTTACCATGATTTTAGGGCTTACGATATGGAAAATCAAACTTCATTTCATATTTTTAACTTATTTAAAATCCAAAGACATTTTTTTTACGGTCCTAATAGTTTAAAAATCGAGAAATCTGTTTTATAAAATACTTTGGGATATTGCTTTAGTTGATTTAAAATCCATAGGAATTTTTGATCTATTTTAAATGTTAAACAATCAAGAAATCCATTTTTGGACATTGTTTTCATAGAATTACAATCGCTGGGAATTTGGTGGAACACTCTTGATAGGATAAGGTGTTGATAAATCTAAAAATCTCTCTATAATCGTAGGAATTCTGCATAATTAATAAATTCATTTAAATCCTTTTTAAAAGTCAAAGCCCAAACCACACGAAATGCTGCACCTTTAATCGTATTTTGAAGATTTGATCAACCACGACTTCCTTAAAGGCTTAAGAACGAGGCTAGAGTAGGGTTACTAAAACACTTCAAGTTTCAAGTAGTTTTCTTTTGAAACTTTTTCGTCTAGTGCACTCCCAGAAAGCCGGCCAGCAAGATGCTCATGACAAAGCGACGGGGACACGACCTCAGCGTACAGGGCACGTTTCTCAATGAAATTCCAGACCGCTCTCGTCGAGCGTTTCTGTGTGTTCCAGCGTTGTCTGCCTCGGTCATCAAATATAGGACTGGGAACTGGCACTGGCGCTGGCGATGGAGTCGGATGAAGTCGAAGATGGGAGCCACAAAAAGTACTATGCTACTTGGGCGGCGGCGACACGAAATGAGCGGCAGCAGTAGCCACCGCGGTTAATTAATTCTGCATGAAATTTAAGGCTTTTCTTTTTTTTTTGCTGGGTCATACATATATGGCGAGTCATTGTCGCCGATGAGACGCTGGCCAGGATGTTGGCCACGTTGCTGCACGTACACAGTCTGTGGATCTGGATCTGTATCTGTATCTGGATGTGGATGTGGATGTGTCCCCCAGTGCTTGCTAATCAGCCGCACCTCATCACAGACGGGGCAAATCAAGTCATTAAGTTTAACCAGAGTGCCAAATGGAGCAAATAATGTGGCCAGCGGCGTCCTCGGCGTAGTTGGGATGCGCCGTATCGTCTTGGGGGTTCGGCGCAGTAAAAAAAATCTCTCAATTAGTCAAACAATTAAATCAGCTATCGATCCCAACTTGAACTGATTCCCCATGCAGGCTTTACGCATTTAATTATGCTCTTCATTTCACAGGCTTTTCCAGGGCAGAAAAAATGGTAAAAAGATGCCTTACTTGCCTCACATCTTAATTGTCTCTAGATGGGAAAAAAGGGCAACAAAAAGGGGAGAAATCTGAGCTGGAAATGGTTCATAAAAATAAGAATAAGAACTCCCCTTAATAACATACAATTAGTAATTAAATATTTCATAAGATATTTATATTTAATCACTTATAAATATAGTTTTCTATTTTTATAAATCAAAATACTTATATATATTTCCCTTTTTTTTACTTTCAGTGTCCAGCCACGGTAAGTTTTTTAATATCTCAAGTAATTCAAATATATTTAAGCCTTTTTTGCTTGTAATTTATACAAATTAATAACTATTTGGAGTGCATAAATTAATAACAAAATGATTACCAAGCATACAAACCGTTTTCACGTTATAAAACAAAACAATTGACACGTTTAATACTTCTTTTGACGATCGTCAAGGACTTTTCGTTTGTCCAGAAATAAACCTGTTTTAATCGGCATTTACTATCTGCCAAAAAAAACTTTTATATATTTTTACCCCAAGGGATGTGTGCTCCCATTGCCACATATTTATTATAAGGGTATATTTTGCAATTATCTTTCAGTTATTCGTGTAAATTCAAAAGGGGTAACCCCGGAGATGTTTCATACGTTAAATACATAATTTAAGGTCTTTTATCAGTAGAGAAAATCTAAGTATTATTATTAGATAAAGAGTATAAGGGGTTTTTGCGTGAAAATGTTTTTTAAAATATATTAATAAAACCAAGTAAAGGATATACCATTTAATTTTAAATATTTTCTTTATATTTTAATTTAAATAATTCAAAAAACTACTAACTAGTCAGCAACCTTAGCTCATTAAAACAAATACAATGTAATCCTTTGTGTTAAAATTTTTCAACAATTGTAAGAGCGTGCTCGCTGTTATGTTGTTAATAGTTATTGTCTCGGACAATATAAATGCACGAGCTGTTAAATGTCGCCAATGGCAAGGACTGCAGCACTATAAATACATTTAAAAAAAACGGGAAAAACAATAATTTAGCTTAACAACTTAATAACAAAACAGCACTCTGCTCCCGATCACCTGTTGGCCAACCGATCGTCACGAGGCTCGAGAAGAACCCTCATCGCAACAGCGACTACTGTGCAACAACAGCACAGGCGGAAGAAAAAATATAAATAAAAAAAAGTGAGGAGACAAAAAAAAAGGAAACCTAAGCCCGGTCTTGGTCGCAGTTATGAGTTTCCACCTGTTCGCGAATTTATTGATTGCCACATTGACAAATGAGCCACCCTGCTGTTATAAAACCAATTAAAGGAAGGGTCCGTTTGCATGCCCATCTCCTGCTTCTGCCACGTCTCCGGCTCACTGGAATATTACGAATAAATTAGGTCTGGTGAGAATTAATTGGACAGTCCACTGGGCCACCGGACACTCATTCGGTGTGATATATAAATCATGGCAGCAAATGCGGCAATAACAGGATTATCCAGCCTCGAATTAATTTGGCTTAGCGAACGAAAGTGCGTCCGCAGAAGTCTAAATGCGTCAGAATCCTGCCAACTTACACTGAGAAAATGAGATTTAAAATTTAGGAAAATTTAGAATGTGTTTTAAAAGTTAAGAGAGGCAACCTAAAGGGGTTTTATTGTATATATACAATTTTTAAGTCCTCTTAAAAATAGTTTGTTATATATTTCCTTGAATAAGTTATATAAAAATATATTTAAATTATTTGTAATATAATTTTCCAGTAATGACTGCATTTTTGGCAAGTGTACTAATTAGAGACACACTCTCAGAGATGGCCAATAAGCAGGAGCAGAGCCAGTGTCAGTGGCCAGTGGCCAGGAAAGAGCACCTGCCAAAGCGGTCGACGCATCATTAATAATTCCGAAGGAGCGGCTAAGTCAGCCGCACGCATAATAACCACGATTAAAGCAAACAAGGCTCATTGTCGGTTAAATGACAAGTTTTGACAACTTGTGAAACGACAAAAGTGGTGGTCACTGGTCGGTCGATCGGCAACCGGGAGCAGGAACGAGGGTATATCTCTCTCTTGTACCTCTGTCTCCTGTGGCAGCGACCCAGTTAAATTAATAATCCGCATAATTGGAGAACTTAACTCGGGCAGCGGGAAAGAGAAAGGACACTGGGTGACGACAAAAAGAGCGTTATTTGCTTTGCGCTTAATATATCATTTAGATTGTTTGTCGCAGATAAAAACGCTGTGAAGACTTTTGGCTGTCATTATTATTATTGTTGCTGTGTTTGTTATTGTTATTATTGTTTCACTTTATCGTGTTTATGGCCGGGTGATTATTGCTGTTCGCTTGTAAGGTTTGTTAGCTCGATTCTATACGGACTTGCGTGGCAATTAGACTTTGAGTTGTCGATTTGGTCGGTCAGTCAGCTCTGGCTCTATATTGATTTAGAGGCCACCAATTACTGCCAAAGGACAGTGGCATAAATAGAAAATAATTGTGTCTGTTTCACAATTATGTCCCCATTGGATTGTTGTCTGGATTTTGATCACTCTGGGAACTCGCACACCTTTTGCTGGACATATGATAGCTCTTGGGTAGATAGTATAATTGGAGTCTTAAATAGCCGTGTGGCTCATATTATTTTCTCTTTTGATTAAAATCATTTAATTGGGGTAAGGGTTTCGGTATTATTTTTTTCCAGAATTCAAGTTGGGGAACTGTTTTTATAAGCAAAATATAAAGGATAAAGATTGCACACTTGTACACAATCAACACATTAATTAAACTGGTTTATTTAAACCTTAAAAGCTGTAGAGATAAATTCTAAACAAACTCTTTTTTTTTTACTTGCTGTACTATAATTCCCAACTGGTTCTAGCTAGTACCTAGTGGTAGCCTCGCTTGTTGTCAAAGCCTGTGATCATCGGTTTGTGATCAATCTGTGATTGGAGATTGTGACAATCTTCTGAAACAGCTGTGGTGTGATTATGATAAGCAAATAACAATATAATGATAAAATATAAAAATGTTAATAATTTTAAATGATAGCAAGAACAAACTATATTTTTAAAACAATTTTTTCCGGGCAAGAAATTTAATAGAAATATGAGTTGTGAAGTTCAATATATAAATATAGGTAAAGAACTAAGCTTTGACTAACATTATGGATTTAACATAAACATTTTTTTTTAATATCAATATATTAAAAAAAAATGTTTATGTTAAATCCATAATATCAATATATTAAAAAAAAATGTTTATGTTAAATCCATAATGTTAGTCAAAGCTTAAGCTTAGTCAATATATTAAAAAAAAATGTTTATGTTAAATCCATAATGTTAGTCAAAGCTTAGTTCTTTACCTATATTTACATGACTTTTCCACCCTCTTAAACTCGCTTTAATGTTAATTATTCCCTCTAATCTAAAATCTATTTCGTACATACACATTTAATTACTATTTTTTCTTCTAATGCTTTCTTTTTCGGTAATTTACAACCTTGTACCGACGACATTTACCAATCGGAAACGAAAACAGGGCGTAAGTATACAAACAAGAGCTATTCTAATATGTAACTAACTTGAAAAACAAACACAAATTAAACTCTCATTAAGGAACACCAGGAACATGACTCTGTTTCGAGATTGCTTAGGTCTTGACAGTGAGTGCACCTTTAATGATAAATTAATTTGGCGAGTAATCTCCAGAGCAATGTGCTACCGCTGCCAGGGCGATCGGTCGGTGGCTCTGATCCGTGGGCAATTACGGCGGAGAACACAGCCAGGGAGTCGTAATTATAACCAGAGCAGCAGCAGCAGCGGCAGCACCAGAAGCAGCCATGTTAAACATGACAGTATTCGTGTCCTGGCGATCCATCAAAATGACAGCTTCTGGGGTCTGTCAAGCGATTCCCGCCGCCTTATCAGCGCAATATCGAATTTCGATCAAAAAACGCCTCCGAGCGACGGGGCCCTGTCGGGAAACACACAACAACCGCTCGACTTTTGGCGCTAAACGTACATCCGACCAAGTCGGAACCAACACTCTCCACTCCACTCTAGAGATCGCCCAGAGCCAGCCCGCATTCCAGTTTCCTGACCCTCATTATCATACATAGTTGGCACCATTAGGGCTTTTGGCACGGGCACAGGAGCAAGGACACTCGCTGGTATGACTAGCCGCAGTTACGTCGCACAGGACGCGATATCCATCTGCCAGAAAAATGAAATGGAAATAAAAAAAAAATTGAAGAAGGGTTGTAATTGCCGTTGAAGCCGTTGGCCAAGCCGATGTATTATTAACTTGTTAAGCGAAAATGGCACATATACGAGTATTATGCACTTGCCTGCCTGCCTGCCTGCCAAGCCTTATCCAAATCCTGTGAGCGAGCAGGATCCACTGTCCTTGCTGACATTCCTCAATTTGTGTCTGTTTTCCAAGTTGTTTTTTGGCACTTTGTCGTGGTCTTAATTTTATTAATTGTATGTTTTCTATCTTTCTTTTTGCATGTTTCCTTGGATGTTACTGAATGTGCAGTATGTAAGTAAAACATATCCTTTATTATTTTAAATAATTTATAAATATTTATGTATATTCTGAGCAAAGTTAACTTACAGTTAAAGGAATTTAAATTGATGGTTTCTTAGAGGTATTTTTTAAATTCTAATAGTTAGGGTTAATTCCCAATAATAATAATAATTAAAAAACTTATCTAAGCCTAAAATAATTATAAAAATTTTTATAAGCCCTTAAAGTTTATAGGAATTTTAAAAGCATTTAAAAATCATTATAAGAATTCCGTAAAATCAAGGAATAAGCTTATCTATACACCATATCGTGGGATCCAAAAAAATAAAATATATACCACCTTAATGGGGTCTTCTCATTCAAAAGCCGTTTTTTGGACCCTTTTTAAAAAAATTCTTATTTGAAAACGCAAAGAATAATTGAACACTTTTTTTATTTATTGTATTCAAAAATGTTCAAAGTAACTAAAAAAGTTGTTCTTGCCTCGATACGAGGGTTGTTCAAAGAGTAATGAGACTTCAAACTTGGTGGTCGAAAAAAAAGGTGTCGACCTGGCGGCCACGATTCAGGGTTTCCAGAGCGTCCGAAATGAAAAATAAAAACGGGGTTATAATCAGAATTGATGTCATTTTCGGCTGACGGAACAGATTTTTTTAAAAAATTTTTAAAACAAAATGACGGCCATTCAAAAAAAAAATTCGATTTCGGGGGTTTTTTTTTGTAGTTTAGTGTAAAAAAAAATAGAAAAAAAAATTTAAAAAAAAATCTGTTCCGTCAGCCGAAAATGGTGACAATTCTGCGTCGATTCCACTTTGTTTCATGAAAATCGGTTCAGTTGAACTGGAGATATCATGGCCGCCAGTTCGAAAAACGTGGTTTCGAGATAAACGCGTTTGAAGTTTGAAAAAAGCTCATTTTGCATAGAACTTGCTTCACAAAAAGGCTGTATCTTCTAAAGTATTTCGAATTTGTAAAAATCCTTTTGGGGACATATACACACCATCCCAAGCTATAAATAAATGCAAAAAAAAAAAAATCGAAAAAAAAAAGTTGCCCAATGAGAAGACCCCCTTAAAAGGGCGATTGAAAACACCTCCAGAAAGGAAGAGCGGAGCGTAATGTGAAACCGAGGACACTGCGTCAAATATGCGCAACATCCTTTTATTATCATGAAGCAATAACGGATCAGCAACACGGTTAAATGTCGCACGACCTAGCTAGGTATCGGAATCTGTGCTCCTGGAATTTCTGCTGGATACGTTGCGAAGGATGGATTCCACGACGGATCCACAGATCCGGAGGAGAAGCAAATCGCTCTGTTTGCCTGCCTGCCTGCCTGCCTGTGCCGCGTGTGTGCCAATGCCAGTGCCAGTGCCAATACAATGCCACAGCTGAACGAGACACAAGAATTTATGGCATTTCACTTTCAAAGACACAAAATTCCTGTCCCTTGCCACCATTAATGGAATGGACAATAAATTTAAACGTGCAGACGGACAACGTGCCATATGTAAAAAGGCTCAGAGACACACTGTAGCGGCAAAACTTCCCGAAATGGCTAAAATCGCTACGATCCGCCGTCTGCTCTCTGCTCTGTGCTGGCCTGCTCCGGCTCCTGCTCCTGCTCCTGCTCCTCCCAAGGAATTGCGCGTGAGACGATTTGTAAGCCCGAAACCGGTCGCCTTTTTAAGCCTTTCAACATCTGCCTGTCCAGCCTGTCCGCTAACAAGGCGATAATCCATGGACAATACCGATTTCGATGCTGATCTTAGCCCTTTTATAATTAAACTTATGACAACAATTTTAGACATTTTTTTATACCATAAATTTGCTATGTTCAGAAACTAAAGTAAAATAGAAACTGTTACAGTGGTTGTTATTTATTAATAAACTTTTAAAATCTAAGCTAATTTACTTAATTGTTCTGTTACCGCCACCCTGTCGTATCGCCCTTGAGAATTTAATTCCCCTTATCTAATTCGAGACAAAAAATGCGCTAATTGAATAGAGACGAGTCGACAGTATCACTGCAGCCAAATTATACCCACATTCCGCCGCTCACCTGAGTGCTTCCAGCTCCCAGCTCCCAGCTTTCAGCTACCAACTGGCAGCTCTCGGCCGTGATCATTGGTTTGGCGAAAGACAATGGACGAGATTAAATGCCAGGCTGGGCAGATTAAGATGCATCGACAGCAATAACTACGTCAGCAGCAGCAGGAGCAGTAGGAGCTGAAGCTGGAGCTGAACCTAAAGCTATAGCAGGCAGCATCGCGCATCTTAAACGGGAGACACGAAACAAATTTCCCTTGAAAAGAATTACATACCGATCGCCGATCGCTGGCCAGACTATGGGAATTGACTTGAAACTCTATTTGTTCGAAACCGATCGAGTCCAGAAAGTGACCGTCTTCATTGTCAACACATGGGCGATGCGATACGATGCGATGGGATGCCCGCTTACGTGGGCTGCAGTGCGGCGGCAAACAATTCTATAGAAAATCAGACATGCACCGCCGTAGCCGTTGCACTGGTGGCGATCTGCCCGAGATCTGCCGGCGATTCAGCAAGTCCCAGCCTCAGTTCCCCTCGACCGGGAACCTTATCGCTGCCCAACGAATCGTTTTGCCATACTAAATTATTATGTTAACATGAAAATAATTGAGGCAACAGGCATTCGACGGTGGCTGGCCAATTTATTTATATCGCTAAATCTCGCTTACGGAGAGTCGTCCGTGGATTTGGGTTTTTCGGGTTCGGCGGCGGTCGCAGAGGCCAATTGAAGGCGGTACAAATAGTTCCAGAACTGGGGCAACCGCAACGGGCTTGGATGACAACACCAGAGACTGGTGGCTACTGTTCAGATAGCGTGCCGCAAATAAATCCCTCAAAATGATAGGAACACAAGGCCTTGTTTTCAGATTTGTAATAAGTCACAAATTATGGTGTATTTATTATGTAAAAAATATATAATCTATATAATTATAGAAGTAAATTATAATGACAAAAACATTTAAATGTCCAAGGACATTATTAGTATATACTTTTCTGTATACATCTTATAGCTTTAAATTATTGTTATCTTAATTCTTTTTCTAAATCTTTATTTATTTTCTGATGCTTAAAATATGGTTATATTTTACCTTTCAGACCGCCTTGCACTGGGCCGCCAAGCATGGTAATGAGGATGTGGTCAAGCTAATTGCCGGCACCTATAAGGCCGATGTTAATGCCAGAACGGTAAGCTATAATCAGAGTTTTGCAAGCGTGTTAACTTGAACGATTTTAATATAACATTTATTTATTCCATGTACTCGCTTCTATCGCCAACTGTGGACACCGTAGAACGGGGTGAGTGGTGATATGTAAATCTATTGGGGCAATTTTAATAATAGACGAGAAACCGACTTATTGGCTTGTCCCAGTCGCGCGTAAATGTGCGTCACATGTCACACGGCGTGCTGGAAATGTATCGTGTAACCCTTTCCCCGGAGGTTTTAAGACCCGAGAGTGGAGAGCAGGCTGTGACAAATCATGACGAGCATATCCAATCCAAGCCTCACCAGCCTGTCACCTCCGTTCTGATTTCGAATCCATCTAATCCTTTCGCTTGTGCATTCAAGTTTACACAAATTTTAAATTGAACGTCGCTTTGTTCCTTCGAAATTAAATTCACTCAAATGTATTAAAATGTCACATCCACATTTGAAACAAAAACGTGAGCTGTTGTCAATCACAGTCCGCAAAATTCGATGCGGTTCTAAACAAAACAATGCCACAAAATGGCAAAACACATGGTTTTCCAGAGCGTATGGAACGCATATATAATTTACACTGTGAAGAGGTTTTATGTGGTTTTTATTAATATATATGAAAGGGATACAAACTTTCCCCTAAGAAATGTTTTATAGAAGTTGGTTAAGAAATAATTCATATTTTATTTACTATTTTTTATTTTAAATTGTTTATGTTTAGGGATACACACCGCTTCACTTGGCCACCCAATTTGGCAGAGATAATATCTTTGAATTACTCTGGAATGTTTACAGTAAGTATTTAGTAAATTATAGATTATAAAAATAAAACCTCTAGATAAATATATGGGAATTAAGTTCCTATGAAACCTTTAAACACCTTCACTTAACATTATTCTTATGTAACCCCTTATTTTAATCATTTCCAGAGGCCAATCGTGACATTATGGACTATAGCGGCAACAAACCCTTGGATTATAGTCGCCAGCGACCAAGTGTCTCGGCCTCCACATGCAGCAGTGAGTATCAAAAGTATTTCATCAATACGGAGGTGAACAACAACTACCAACTGGGATTCATTGAGACGTCACTTGGGAAAGGTGAACTCATCGGTGGGACACTGGGCAGCGCACTAACCCGCGGCAAGAAACGCTCTCAGTTGCTCTATGCCACCGTTAGCGGTGGCTCGGGTGGAGGTGGCGGTGCGGTTTCCCGCTCCCAGTCTATGATGGTCCAGCGGCGCTCCAAAAAGCCAGTCGTGCAGGGTCTGTTCAGGTCCGCAGGTCCAGCAGATGAGGGCAGTGATCTGGTGCCCTGCGACCAGGAGGGGGGAGGCCATCCCGTTCCATTCCGCGGCGCCTCCACTCGTCGCAAAGAGAGCTTTCTCCGCAAAACCTTTCGATCAACAGCGGGCGGTGTTGGCATTCGTCGGCAGCCCAAAGATGTTGTTACTACTACTAACCCACCCGAGCATGGTTAATTATTAGATAATCGCTTGTTTTATAATCCTTCACCTCTGTATTTACCCTTTCAAAATTGTGCTAAAGTATGTATATAAACGTGCAGGTAACAGTTGTAATAATTAATAATAGTTTTTAGAGTTTTACACAGTTTTAATATTGAAACCAGTGCATTTTTTACAAACTAAGCATTTAAGTATTACAGCATGGCCTTATTATGTATTGCTTTAATTTTTACCACGGTGTTCCGATTAATTATTAGTTTTATATCTATGTACATATATCCACAAATAATCGCATGTTTATGGGAAAAGAATTTAAACAATAAAATGTATACACTACGAATGTTTGTTAACCAAATATATTTTTCGAAACTAATTTCGTAAAAGATTTATTCTTTATGCCTGTGGTTATTTGCAAAAACTAATTTATAATTATTAAAAAAACGCTTTAAAAATATAGTAATATATACTAAATAATTCTTAAAACAGACTGTTTTGCAACCAATTTACTGAATTTAAAATCATTTAAAGAATCCCTCTTAAAGACATTATTATAATTAATATTATTGCCCGCCCATCCCTCACAACAACAAAAAAATCCATTGAAAACGTAGAGTATATGAATCCTTAAACTGATCTAGTAATTAATATTTAAAATGGGAACCTCTGTCTATTTTCAATATTTGCTGCATGCAGAGATTCAAGCGATGCGATTCAGCGGCGGACTCAACGGTACCTGGAGGCAGGTTGAGAGATTTAATGATCTCGAGTATTATCAAAGCATTAGTGTTGAATAATTTATATATTTTGCTAGCCAACTATGCTTTATTCTTTCGTTTTTGTAGCCTGTAAATATATGCTTTTTGTACTTGATTTGGTAGCTGAGTTTTTATTATACTAGTTTTTATTTTCGCAAGCATTTAAGTTGCAAAGCCTGTTTCTTTTGCGATTCTTGGTAAGTTTTCTTTTCTTTTTTAGTTATGTTATATTTTTTCTCACCGCCTGCATTTATTTAAATTATTTAATAAAATATTATCAAAAGTTATGGCATTTATTTCAGCTTTCGCATGTTCATTTGATATGATTACGATTTTCATGATTAAATATTAATATTTATAATTTTATTTTGTTTTCTTTACAGAAATCAAGGCACGCAAAAAGCATGCAAGTAAGTAAAAATAGCAAGTATTTAAGCTTTTTCAATAAAGAAATCATTTAAAATTAATTATTAAAAGTATATTTCACTATATTATTATAAAAAAAAGCTTAAAAGCATATTAAGTAATTTTTAGGATATTTAAGACTGATTTTTTTATGCTTAAAATAAATAAGGAATCCTTTAAAATTTAATTAAAATTTAAAATAATATTATTATTTATTTAATATTAATTTTATATATATTTTCCCCTCTTTTAGTCGAAAAAGATTTGGGCTTCCTGCGGATTGGTTCACTGAATGTCCGGGTAAAGAAGACCACCGAGGCGTTCAGCAATTTCTTGGGAGTGGGCAATGGCAGTGGAGTGGCCCAGATGCCCTATGGCGGGGCAGCGGGAACGGGAGCAGCAAGTCACCCTCACCATCGATCTCGCCGAGCCTCTCATCAGCGTCATCATCACCACGTTGGTACGACACGGAATCGCCATCCGAATCAGAGGGCAGCGATGAGCACACCCTACGCCACGAACGGCGGCGGAATACCGTCGAGGGCGAGTGCTCCCAATAGCCATCGCAACATTTACGAAGGAGTGCACAAGTCGTGGGGATCGGCGGATAATATAACGCAGCGATCGGAGGAACTGATGCCGCCGCCCAAGTCGGTGGACTACGTCAGCAAGCAGCGGAACAAGTCCTCGAAGCGTTCGTCCTATGCCTCGAATGCCACCGATTCGCCCCGAGACTCCATCTGCTCCTCAAATTCCAGTTCCAATCTGAATGGCGGCTACAGCAGCATGCCCACCACCCCGAACCAGATGCGTGCCCCCAAGGGTATAGTTCCCTCCTTTGCCGCGGACTCCGATTCGGATTCCGCCTGCGGATTCGACTCCAGTTGGTCGGTCAATTGTCGCAACTCCTCTAGCAGCAATCCTTCACAATCCTAATTACCTGAAGAAGCCCATTATATCTACCCCACTTAGGGGACACCACTTAAAACATTGACCATATGTAATCGAAAAAGTATTTGTGTTTCACTTGAACTAACAACTAAAAACTATATTTTTATAAGGAAATTTTATGTAAAGCCGTGTAAGTGTATTTTTGGAAATAAAATTTTGAGTTTTGTGTTTATAAAAAAATATTTGTTGGTAACTTGAAGAAATGAAAATGAAATGAAATGAAAATTGGTGATATATTAAAGTTTAATATATTTTTCTTTAAACAAATATTTAACATGTTAAGCAATGCAAATATTTCAGGTTTTCTTGGGGGTATAAGATGCCCATAAAGCCAGTGATTGTCAAAAGTCTTATATATTCCGATTTGCCATTAAAATCCTAATTAATTAATAATAAAATATTGCATTAATGCATCAAGGTTTTTAAAATTTGTATAATCATTGCAAAGAAAGGTATTAAATGGATTATTTGTCGAGAAATTTAAATCAAATACTTTCCAATAATACTTTAAAGTAAATCAATCTTAATGAATAAGTTAAAAATATATTTTAAATTTCGGTTAGTTGCGCGCGCAATTTGGTTTAAAGACGCGTTAGGGCTTGTCTCACCACTGCGTCGACGAGTGTCAACAAGTTTCTGGCATTCAAATTCTGGTCTTCTTCTTCACAATTGATACGACTACACGTGCGGCTAAAATTGTTTGTTTTGTTTTAATTTAAAAACCCAATTTAAACCTGATAAAATGGGCAAGAAGGACAAGAACAAGAAGAAGGGCAAAGGAGCCGAGAAGACGGCCATGAAAACGGACAAGAAGCTGGCGGCGAAGCAGAAGAAAATGCTGGAAAAACTTGGAGAAGTAAGAATAGAGTTACTGCCATAAAAACAAAAATAAAACCTTTATTTATTAACAGGCCAACATAGCTGACATCATCCAGTTATTGGAGTCCAAGGAGGGAAAGATTCAGACCATCACTGAGAATGCCTGCACGCCACCGAGTCCCCGATCCAATTTTACGCTTGTTGCCCACCCGGAAAAGGAGGAACTCATCATGTTTGGGGGAGAACTCTACACGGGATCAAAGACCACGGTCTACAACGATCTGTACTTTTATAACATAAAATCTGGAGAGTGGCGGGAGCTGAGATCGCCGGCAGGACCCACGCCAAGGAGCTGCCATCAAATGGTGGCAGTGGCCAGTAATGGAGGAGAACTGTGGGTGAGTTGGTGTACTTATAAAATAATTTAAAATATTTCATTTAAAATTGGGTTTTTCTAGATGTTTGGCGGAGAGCATGCCAGTCCCTCGCAGCTGCAGTTTCATCACTACAAGGACCTATGGAAATTCTCACTCAAATCGAGGAAATGGGAGAAGATAACTTCGCCCAATGGCCCCAGTGCCAGGAGCGGTCACCGCATGACCGTATCCAAAAAGCGGCTGTTCATATTTGGTGGTTTCCATGATAACAATCAGTCTTATCATTACTTCAACGATCTGCACATCTTCTCCTTGGAGTCTTATCAGTGGCTTAAGGTGGAGATTGCCGGAGCTGTTCTGCCACCGCCTCGCTCTGGCTGCTGTATGGCCGCTGCTCCGGATGGCAAGATCTTCGTTTGGGGTGGCTACTCCAGGGCCAGCATGAAGAAGGAAGTGGATCGAGGTGTAACGCACACGGACATGTTCGCGTTGACTCAAGATAGTCAGTTACTCGAATAATCCTTTACATTTCCATATACTAAGACTTTTATCCACCACAGAAAACGCAGGCGATGCGGACAACAAATACAAGTGGACAGCCGTAAAACCCGGCGGTTATAAGCCCAAACCGCGCAGCAGCGTTAGCTATACAGTGGCCGCAAATGGCAAAGCTTACTGCTTTGGCGGCGTCATGGACGTCAATGAGGATGATGAGGATGTGGAGGGACAGTTTGGCGATGAGCTGCTAGCCTTTGATTTGACCGCGCAAACGTGGAGATTGCAGGAGATCCAAACGAAAGCCAGTCCGGCTGAGAAGAAGGAAGAGACCAACGACGTGGAGATGTCAACAGGTCCTGCCCAGCCCGTAACCACCACAACAGATGGTGTCTTCACTGTTACCGTTGGGGGACCGAGCACCAGCACCACTCCATATGTCTCCAACATACCCAGTCTGTTCGGCAAACCCAAGCCCACGAATGTACCCTCGCCGAGAATGAACCCCGGGCTGTGCGTTTGCAAGGGAACCCTCTACCTTTTCGGTGGAATCCTGGAAGAGGACGCCAAGCAGTTGACCTACAACGATTTCTACTCCCTGGATCTGCACAAGTTGGAGTGGAAGGTCATAATTCCCAACAACTTGAAGGCCCACGAATGGGAGGATAGCGACTTGAGCAGCTCCGACGAAGAGTGCAGCAGCCTGGAGGACGAGGACAGCTCCAACAGCTCCGACATGGATACGGATTAATCCGGTTTGAAGTTATTGCAAATGACTATATAATGTAAATTTGGTTAACAATTCTCTTAAATATAAACAAAATGGAATCTTTTTGAATGTTCAATCACAGCTCCAGGATCTCGGTGAGGATGCGCTGCGTATCCTTGGGCGTATACACCCTATGGCTGATGGTGCGAGGATCGCTGTAAATCTCGTAATCGTTGCCGCCCGGCTCCGTTTTGTCGCCGAAGAAATGGATTTCCTTGAACTTGTAATGAGCTTCGATATGACGCAGGCAATAGGTCTTGTCCCAGCCGTGCGGGAAGACATCGAAGCTGATCTGGCCACCGATGGAGTACGTGAGATCCACATCGGCAAACTCCTTCTTAAGGTCACTTATCATCTTCTCGCGCACCTTGTGCTCGTTGTCGTAGGCGGCGAACATATTCCGTTCCTCCCGCGAGCACTGGCGTCCAATGGGGCAGACGTTCATCATGCCGTTCCGGAACTCAATGAAGGTTCCCCGCTTGATGGGCAGCTCCAGCTCGGACAGGTAGCGGAGCACAAAGTTGATGAACCGCTGCAAGGTCTTCTCGCCGAGATGCTTGATGATGTTCTGCTTGCCAACCTCTTTGCCACCTTCAATCTGGACGAGTCCATTCTCCGGGAATATAAAGTCGAACTCGGTGAGGATCTTCTGGCCGCTCAGCTGCTCGAACATCTTCTCCAGATCGGATCCACCCACGATTCCGATGGTAGCCCGGGGCTTCACTTTTGAGTAGAAGAACTCCTCGAACTCCGGAGTCACCACTGACCTTGGCATCGTCAGGGTTCCGTCCACGTCGAAGAGCAGAAGGATTTCGTCACGTTTCAGTGTTGCGGTGCACATCTTTCATGAGAGTAATTGCGCGGAACCTGGGGTATTTATTATCCAAGCAATTATGCCCACGTATGATTTTCAGATAAAGAACCCAGTAAGCGGCAACGCCGTGGTGAGAAATACCCTAAAGCTTTGGCGGCACCCGGCTGGATGTGAACTGGTTCCGAAACCATTCATAATTTAATAAATTATTTTTAAGAAATTAAATTATAAAGTGGTCAAATTAAGAGTTGTAAGATAGTAAGAAATCTAATATTTTTAAAGTCTTTTGCTTAATTCATGCTGTTAAGGGTCAGACAGCTTGGATTCGTTATATATTTTACAGGTTTTAAGTTATGTACATTGCTAAATGATGTAAACAAAACATACACATATTTGGGTTCTGAGGTGTTCAATTAACGTATTCTAATCGGGATTCTTTACTTCGCCTTAATGTGCTGCAGTTCATCTCGTTTGATTTTGCTGTATTCCTGTAGGGTCTTGTACTTTTCCGTGTTGATCATGGGGTCCACAATTACTGGATATAGCGTCAGGCCTACGGCACCCACAATGCAGGACACGAAGCCCACAAATCTCCATCCACGTAGAACTGCCATTTAGCTGGCAAAATTATTTTGATTAATATATTTTCGGATTTGTTATTATAAAACACAAAAACACCTGGTTGGTTCGCCCGTTAGATGCTAAAAAAGACCATATGAGTGGTCTTACTAAAGCGGTGTGTTTGAAGTATTTTACAGTAAAGACAGGATATAGTGAACTGGTGAAATTTTGCCAATAAAAGTAATATTTGTAGAATTTTAAGATTATAATGTTTAAAAATATCATTTAATGAGCTAAGCTTTAGAAGCTTATAAATTTTAAACAATAATCAAATAAAAATAGTTGAATTTTTAATTGTTTTGATAGCACATAGACTGCATTACTTTTATTATAAACATAATAATTTATTCAAATAGCAAAAGTGAATAAATTACCAGCTGAGGTGCTCATTATATTAATTTATTTCTTCATCATACCCAATCCCCACTGTAGCTACCTGTTGGTATTTTTCTCTCCACAATACTGGTTCAATCGAACGCTCTGGCTCTGGTCACACTGATTGTCTGTCTTGAGCTGGGCTTGGGTGTGGTATATTGTTTGACTAATTGTTTAAGATTGGCCTTTTTTAAGTTAAATTACTTGCTTGCTGAACATGGCTAGAAGCCTCGTTTTTGTGGCTCTAGTCGGCGCTTTGTGTTTTACCCTCGCTTACGGTAAGTACAGCTCAAAAACCGGAGTCCAGGCATCTGCGTTTACTTGGGCGTTGGCATGACTCCAAAATATTTTCATAAACCACGATTTTTTTACTCACTTTTCAGCTCAACATCATTACGATGAGCACAGAATTAAGGACATTATTTGGTGCACCAAGAGCCTGGAGGAGCAGTACAAGTGCGGAAACCTAACGGTGGCCATCGCTCGAGATCGCGCCCTCTTCGACGATGCGTTCCTCAATCTCACCTGCTTCAGGGCCTTCAGCGCCGATGAGTGTATCCATCACATAGATCGCGAGAAGGCGCACATCACTTCTCTCGATGCTGGGGACGTCTTCACCGGTGGTCGATACAATTCCTTGATACCAATCATGCAGGAAAAACTGGAAGGTGGCTTTGCGGAATATCAATCGGTGGCAGTGGTCAAGAAAGGATCACTGCAGGATGTGACCAATTTGCGCGATATGCGAAATAAGCGAGCCTGCTTTCCCTGGGTGGGCAGTCTGGCGGGCTGGATTGTGCCTATTCACACGGTGAGTTAAGGGAGTTGACTTTGAGAGGGAATTGTGGAAAGGATATGGATTTAATAGAGATCTAATCAAACTTTTAGAGCCCTTTAAACGTTCAGTTTGAGCTAAAAACATGTAATTAATGATTAACTTATAAAACCCACTTATTTTTCAGCTCCAACGAGAAGGCGGCATGGAAGTGGTGGACTGTAACAACCAAGTCAAGACTGCAGCCAGCTACTTCAACAACTCTTGCGCTGTGTACTCGCTCTCCGATAAATACAATCCCATTGGCGATAACTCCGACAAGTGAGATCCAAACACAGCTTTCAATTTAACCCCTGAAACTAATGCTGTATTCTTTTTCAGACTCTGCACACTTTGCACTGGAAAGATTCCTGGCGGCCGCTGCTCAGCTGCTGATCCTTACTATGGCTACGAAGGTGCATTTAGGTGTCTTTTGGAAAAGGGAGACGTTGCCTTCTTGCGACACTCGACCGTGGCCGAAATGCTGCAAACCACCGAATTTAGTGAGTAAATAAAAGCAAACTCTAAAAAATTTTAAACTAACTTAAATTTACTTTTTAGAAAACTTGCAACCCAACAGTTTTGAGTTGCTCTGTCGCGATGGTCGTCGTGTGCCCATCAATGACTACCGACAGTGCAATTGGGGCCAAGTGCCCGCCGATGCTATTGTGACATCTTCCGCACGAAGCTTTGCCGATCGCAAGCAGTACCAACAGTTCCTGAAGCGCATTGCGGAGTTGTACTCCGATGGACTTCGCGACGACCGCGGCCGGCAGAACGGACAGTCCGGGCAGGGATTTAATAATAACTTTGACAACAACAACTACAATCAGCAGCAGGGTCAAAGCGGTGCCTATGACCAGTTTAACAATCAATATGATCCCAACAACCAGTACAGGAGCCAGAATCAGTACGATCAGTACCGCAGCGAACGCCTAGATAGCAGCTTTGCGGCGGATCAAAACCCGCTGGACGGCACCAACACCTCTATTCTCTACGAGAAGTTCCGCATCTTTGAATCCAAGCGTTATGGCAAGCCAAATCTCCTCTTCCAGGTGAGTTTTACCTATTTGCTTTAGTTAAAGTGGAATTTTACAGGAATTTCTCTGTTTACAGGACTCTAGCAGGGCTCTTACTGTCATTCCCGAAGACGATCAGTCATTTACCAAGTACTTGGGCAATGCTATCGGGTATATTTACGGAATTCGTGAGTGCCCAGTTGGGGCGATGACCCTCTGCGTGACCTCCGAAACTGAACTGGATAAGTGCATCAAAATGAGGGTGAGTCATGAAAAGAAACTTAAAAATAGGAAAACTTATAAAATGTTTACTTTTTTTTACTCTCTCCAGACCGCTCTGAAGGCTCACATCCTTAAACCCGAGCTGATTTGCAAGAAGATGCATTCCCACATCAATTGCATGCAGTTCATCCAAAGCGGAAGGGCTGACATCGCTGTCTTCGATGCCGGCGATGTCTACACCGGCGGACTCAACTATGACTTGGTTCCGTTCATGTCGGAGGTGTACAATCTGGGTGAACCGGAGTACTATGTGGTGGCTGTTGCCAAAGAGGAGGACCCCGACACAGAGCTCACATATCTGAAGGGCAAGAACACCTGCCACACGGGCATCAACACCGCCGCCGGATGGACTTATCCCATGGCTCACTTTATCTCCAACGGCTGGATCCGTCCCTACGGCTGCGACTCTGTCCGTGCTGCAGCGGAATACTTTACCAAATCGTGTGTTCCGGGTGCACTTAGCAGTGAATACAACACGGGAGTGCCCTACGATAGCATGTGTGACCTGTGCCATGGTACCAGTTATAGATACTGCCGGCGTGATGCCTCGGAGGATTACTATGGACATACGGGAGCATTCAGGTGCCTGGTGGAGGGCGGCGGACATGTGGCTTTCATGAAACACACCACGGTGATGGAGAGCACTGGCGGCAAACGCAAGGAGTGGTGGGCACGTAACGCTCTTAACGATGACTTTGAACTGCTGTGCACGGACGGAACGCGAGCAGAGATTAACGAGTACAAGCGCTGCAATCTGGGCAAGGTCAAGGCCAATGCCGTGGTTACCCGCGGCGGGCCCGCCTACAACGAGACGCAACTGAATGCCTACATCAACCTGCTGACCTATGCCCAGCAACTGTATGGCCGCAAGGATGTGGATGCCTTCAGCTTCAGCATGTTCTCCTCCCCGATCGGGCACTACGATCTGATTTTCCAGGATGCCACGCGCCAGTTGCAAGTCATTCCGGCGAACAAGCGCACATACGACGCCTATTTGGGCAGTGACTTTATGCGGGCACGCCGCATCACCGACTGCTATGCCGGTGCCTCCCAGGTGGCCTTGTCCCTGGGACTGCTCCTCGTGGGCTCCCTAGTTGCAATCCTCTAAATATCCCAATAGACGTACTCGCTAAGGTTTTAAAAGTTCAACAAAAAGTGTACAAGAATCTCCAGCACAAAAGTGGAAACATATCAGAAGTCTTACATTCCAAATATTCATAAGTTCAAAGAGAGATCCAATTCCGTCCGAAAAATCGAATTCCCCTTAGCCGAATTATTCTTGAAAAAAGGCTATAATTTATATATATTGTAGTGCCTGTGCCTTAATATATAGTATTTGTTTTGTGTACGTACCAACTAAGTCCGTCCAAAAAGAAGTTTGTACCTAGAATGTTTAAGCCGAATCTTTTACAAAAGCTTTTTTAAGTATACACAAAAAAAAATACGAAAATGATCCCTTGGTTTATTTTAAAAGGTATTTTTTGTTTAGATTATAAATCTTATATTTAGGATTGATTCTATTTATGTGACCCAGCCTGTAAAACCGGTAAATTTAACCAGTCAACTGTGACGTCATCATCAGATGTTTGTGCCAAAGGAGTTGGCAACGCGGCTCATTTAAACGGTACGGCAACGCTAGTGCTTCGCTTAAAAATTAATTTTTCTTATGATTTCAGACAGACTTTAAGGGAAACTTTAATTTAAACAGCTTAGTTTAGATTGGCTTCACCTTTAAAAATTGTATTTCATGTGCGCAACCCTTTTTAAACGACATTAAAATCATTCAAAGCAGCCATGCAGTGTGACCAGCATGTAGGACTGGCTGCAACGGCGGGGGAACGCAACGGTCACACCCACCTGCATAAATTCCACAATTCGCTGTGTTCGTAAAGATTCGAAAGCTGCTCCGGAAAACCGGACCCTTTCACCTTGCTCAGGACCAGTTGCGCCACCTTAAACTCTCGCAAAATGTCGATCAATCTCCGCACCGTTTACGCGTTCGCCCGCGAGATGTACCCAAAGGTTTCCACCGAGCACGTTCAATATGGAACAGCTGGCTTTCGCGGCAAGTAAGTTTCAGTTAATTAACGATCTAGCCGAGTTAATTATGAAGTTGTAACAACCCCACACCCACGCGCTGCATACGTTGCCTGTGGCGAGTGTGTGTGTGTTGTTTGATTGCCAAATGCCAGTGTTTGCTTAAAGATAAGTAATGTGATTGCATGCACCATGTTGTCGAAGCGGCGGCGGTTTATTTTTAGATGTTGTTCACCTTTTATCAATGGACATGCCCTTCTTTCGCTTCTTCTATGTGTAGGGAGAGGGTGTGTGCATGTGCATAGGCGCATACATACTGACATACAGTCGAGGTCAGCGAAGTAGGTTCTAAAAGAGCAGGGTGCATTGTTATCAGGTTATTATTCATAATAATACAGCTCTATATTGATTGTGTACGAGATAGTACTTATGTACTATCTCTCTAGAAATCATTATCTATCTATTCTATCTAACATCTATATATTTACCTAGCTTTCCATCTATCTATCTATGTATCTATATATCTATCTATCTATCTAATCTGAGTATCTTTAATATAGTAAATAATATTATATTTAAAAATGTTTATTATTAATTATAATAAATAATACAAAATGCCCCTTAATTCCACTCCACAGGGCTGAGTTCCTGGACAGCGTAATGTTCCGCATGGGAGTTCTTGCCACCCTGCGATCGAGGTATCGGGAGGGTGCGGTTATCGGTGTAATGATCACGGCATCGCACAATCCGGAACCGGATAACGGCGTCAAACTGGTCGATCCCAAGGGTGAAATGCTGGAGGCCAGCTGGGAATCCATTGCCACCGATCTGGTCAATGTCAGCGACCAGGAACTGGAGCAACATGTGGCCAAGATCATCAAAGAGAACAACATCGATGTGACGACGAGTTCTCAGGTGTTTGTTGGCATGGACAACAGATACCATAGTCCGCGATTACTTAAGGCCGTGGCCGATGGAGTGATTGCGCTGAAGGGCAATGTCAAGGAGTACGGTATTGTGACCACGCCCATGCTGCACTATTTTGTGGTGGCGGCCAACACTAAAGAGGCGTACGGCAAGCCCACCGAGGAGGGATACTACGAGAAGCTGATCAAGGCCTTCGAGCTGCTGAGAAACAGCCGGCTGGAGAATGGCAACTACCGGAACAACATCATTTTCGATGGCGCTAACGGTGTGGGTGCCCGCAAGATGCTGCAGTTCATTAAGCGCATGAAGAGTTCCTTGAATGTGACGGTTATCAACCAGGGCATCGGTCCTGGCAAAATCAACGAGGACTGCGGTGCGGATTACGTGAAGGTGCAGCAGCGGACGCCAAAGTCCATGCCAGAGGTGGAACCCTTTACGCGCTGTGTCAGCGTGGACGGAGATGCCGATCGGGTAGTGTACTTCTTCACCGACGACAAGGGAGAGTTCCATCTCCTGGATGGCGACCGCATTGCCACCTTGGTTGCGGGTTACCTCATGGAGCTGGTCACGCAGGCCGAGATCAATCTGAGGCTGGGTCTAGTGCAGACCGCCTATGCGAATGGTGCATCCACAGATTATATAGTCAACGAACTGAAGTTCCCCGTCTCCTGTGTTCCCACGGGCGTGAAGCATCTGCACCACAAAGCCCTGGCCTACGACATTGGTGTCTACTTCGAGGCAAACGGCCATGGAACGATTGTGTTCAGCGACAATGCGAAAGCCACGATTGCCCAGGCAGCGGAAACCAAAGAGAGTGCCAAGACCCTGCTGCTCCTCATCGATCTTATCAACGAAACCGTGGGGGATGCCATCTCCGACATGCTGCTGGTCGAGACGATCCTAAACCACAAGGGCTGGGATGTCCAGGACTGGATCTCATCGTACAACGACCTGCCCAACCGACAGCTCAAGGTGAAGGTGCAGGACCGGAATGTAATCGAGACCACAGATGCGGAGCGGGTGTGTGTGAAGCCGGAGGGTCTGCAGACAGAGATCAACAAGGTGGTGGCCAACTACAAGCGGGGGCGCTCCTTTGTGCGCCCCTCAGGAACAGAGGACGTGGTCCGAGTCTATGCAGAAGCTGCAACAAAAGAGGTAACTTAAGAGTAATTTGTATTGAAATTTCCTATAATGTGTTAATTTCCTTGAAGGACACGGATAACCTGGCCTACGAAGTCGGTATTTTGGTGCAGAAACTAGCCGGCGGCGTGGGACCCGAATTGACAAAGCCAGGCAGTGCCCATCTGTAATCCTTAAAAACGAAACAACCTCAAAACGATCATTGACACAGGTCCTGAGCAATAAATCTCTTTACTCTAAGGTGCTCAATACTTACGCCTAATTTTACGCAAAAGTCTTAAATTGCAAATGCATTTATATACCTGTAATTGTTCCACTGTCTTCTGTGTTCTAAAGATGAGATGTGTTTTTGTACCACTAAAAATAAAATGTTTTATTTAGTATATTTTTGTTGGAGTTAATTTTAAAATTAAAAAATTTTCTTTTAAATAAAAGGAAGCTTTACGCCATTATAGACGGCATTTTTGAGCTAAAAGACTATCATTTCTATTCTGTGTTATTAAATACTATATATTAGATATTTTGATTTGGTTTTTATACCACTAAAAATATGTTCTACTTATTTTAATGTAGTGGGAGTTATTATCAATATTAAATAGTTCACTATAAATAATAGCAAAACTTTACGACATTTTTGAGCTAAAAGCCTAATGCATTTGTTTATTACATAATGCTATACATTTAATATTTAGAAAATAATTAATCTTAGTGGGCCAGACATATAATTATTTAAGTTTTTGATTAAGTTTGATCAACCACTAATATACAAAATATTCCACGGTAACGTACAAATCGTTAACGTAAGGAATCAGTGTGATATATTAATTATTTTTTCCGACGGGACTACCTTGTATAATTCTATCATGAGTGTGACCGCATAAGAAAGTCCGAAGTATTTTGGCAGGATCGCCGTAAGGTCACGCTCTCATACCATTTTACTTACATTTTTACACTCTACATGAGAATTCGACCCCAAAAACGAGAATTCGACCCCAAGCTGTAAATTGACATTTTAGTTTGAAATTCAGAGTGACCAAGGGAAAAATATCAAAGAATATCAAAAAAACATCGCGATTTCGACTATTGGCAAAAAAGTCATATTTTGAAATTTTCCAACCCTACAAAAAATGTCATATTTTAAAATTATCCAACCCTAGCATCTGTTTGCCGTGCTGTCACTTTGGCTGATGCAATTGCAGTTTTTGAGCTAAATTAAAGTTATTTGCTGGCCGCCGAGTATTTATAAAGCGAAATCACAATGGACGCGGAAGACGTAAGTTATTTACCAACGCAGACAAACACTTTCCCCGCGAGAAATCCTGGCCTAGAATGCGAGTACATACGTATGTCTTCTACATGTGCGCACTGTATGTGTATGTGTATTTACATATTTTTGTATGAAAACTGCGAAAAATGAGGTTATGTTGGCCTAATCCGGATTTTAACACCGATTTTTTATTTAATTTTGCAGGGTTTTGATCCCACTTTGCTGAAAAAGAAGAAGAAGAAGAAGACCACCTTCGATCTGGACGCTGCATTGGGTCTGGAAGACGATACCAAGAAGGAGGATCCCCTGGATGAGGCGTCGGCGGATGCAGGTGCCGCTGAGCTGGAGGACAATCTAGATCTAGAGAGCTTTGGCAAAAAGAAGAAAAAGAAGAAGAAGCCGTTCAACATGGATGATATCGAGGCGGCAGTGCCGAGCTTCGGAGGCGAGGATGCGACAGCGGCTACGGAGGAGCCCGAGGAGGAGGAGATCAATCTGGACATGGACTTTTCGATGGCCAAAAAGAAGAAGAAGAGCAAGAAGAAGGATCTGGATGAGCTGTTTGCCGACAAATTGGACGATGACAAAGGCGAGGACAAAGAAAACGGTATGATGACTAATTGTGTTTCATTAACTTTTCGAAGGTTTCATAATTTGTATAACAATTCGAGATATTTATGTATCGTATTTAACTCTTTTTCAGTGGAAGACAATAGTTCAACCTGGGCTGGTTCCGATCGTGACTACACATATGACGAGTTGCTGAAGCGTGTCTTCGAAATCATTCTCGACAAGAATCCGGACATGGCCGCCGGTCGCAAGCCCAAGTTCGTGATGCGTCCGCCCCAGGTGCTGCGCGTCGGTACCAAGAAGACCTCCTTTGCCAACTTCATGGACATTGCGAAAACGCTGCATCGCCTGCCCAAGCATCTGCTCGACTTTTTGCTGGCCGAGTTGGGTACGAGCGGCTCCATGGACGGCAACCAGCAGCTGATTATTAAGGGACGCTTCCAGCCCAAACAGATCGAGAACGTGCTTCGCCGCTACATCAAGGAGTATGTCACCTGTCACACCTGCCGCTCCCCTGAGACGATACTGCAGAAGGACACGCGTCTGTTCTTCCTGCAGTGCGAGTCGTGCGGTTCCCGTTGTTCGGTAGCCAGCATCAAGTCAGGTTTCCAGGCTGTCACCGGCAAACGTGCCGCCATTCGAGCAAAAACAACCTAAATTCTCCTTATTTAACAAAATGCTTGATTTTTTATTACCAGTAAAATTTCAATACAAAAAACGTTTATTTGTTTGTTGCAACTTGCGTTGTACTCTTGTAGTCGTGATGCCAGCTTAACAGGTGATCGGCAAAGGCAATTTCTTGTTTCCGAGATGAGCCGCTGTCTATAAGGAAGGAATAGGCATCCAGGCCCATCTTTCCTCTGAAGAGAGTCGGTCTGCCGCGCAAAAACAAACTGTGGCCCCTCGTTATGGCTCCAGGATCTATGTACTCCGTTGCAGCCCCCAGCAGGCGGATCAAGCTCTGGGCAATGGGTTTATAGCGTTCGGAAGAGGCCAGTGATGTGGCTTCTGCGTGGAGGCAAGCAACAATTTGCTTTTTTGCCTGGCCCTTGCTTATACTTGCCTCCAGAAATCCGGTGCTGTCATCGATATGGTATTTGTTGAAGGCCGTGTTGTGCGTTCCATATCCAGACACAAAAGCGTAAACAATGCAGGTGCGAAAATGAATCGGATCGGAGTTGGTATTTGCATTATAAGTTATAAAAACATCTGGCGTTTCAGGATCCTGAGTTGCCCGTAGAATGTGAGCTATAGTCAGGGGTATATCTTCGTGAATTTTCGGACCCGACTTGGCAGAATCGGTTGTTTGGATATCATGTTGCTTCTTACGAATGATAAAATTGTCTACCCGATCCTCGACATCAAAAAAGCTTATGTTTGGATCCATAACTAAAATCAAAACAAGTCGTTTATATCAAAATCATGTACACAAAGTTGGGGGACTATATTATTTACTCAATTGTTTATTCCTTTAAAATAACATTTATTGTTGCGCCTGTTTTTGATTATCTCTGTCTATCGATAACTTTTCTTATCGGCTGCTCTTTCATGGGCAGAACTAAAGGGGGTTGAATGCGTAAGCCTCATAAAATATTTTATAAATCCTTTTTAAAAAATTATTATAGGTTATTAAAATAATTATTATTACTTGATATTTTAATATTATTTATTTCATAACCAAAAAAATGTAACCCCCTTTTACTGACTCACGAAATTTTGACTACGCCCTGTGTATATAGGTTAAATAAATTTCTAGATAAAGTTGAATACCTTCCACCATTAATAAACATTTAACTTAGTAAAATATAATCATAAACGAACAAAGAAAATAATATTAATTGTCTATTTCACCACAAATCTAAATTCTTTGTGAAACAGCAGCAAGTTGGCAGCCCCGTTTTACGCAGCCCTGGGTGTTTCGAGTTGCGAGTCTTGTGAAATTACGAAAAAGTACACTTTGTGCAAAAGCAAACGATCAGATCGAACAAACTATTTGTCGACGGTGTCCTTGGAATGTCTGGTGGTCCATCCATTACGCTTAAAAGCCAACCCATCGATGGTAACAACACCGGGAATGCTGCAGCGGCTCAGCAGCAGCAGCAGAGTGCGAATGGCGCAGCATCTGGATCCTCTGCCGCCGCCGCTGCTGCTGGCAGTCAAGGCCAGAATCATGGCAACGGCGGAGGAGTAGGCGGCGGCGCGAGTGCTCCGGCGGAGGGTACACGGCAGAATAGCCTTCAGCGCATCCAGCAACGAAAGCAGAAGGTATTCAACCTACCTGTGGCCCAGAAACTGGCCAAGCTCTCGATGTACTCGTCCTGCCAGTCGGAAGGATGCCGTTGCACGGGCTGGAAAACTCCTCAGGAGAACCGTCATCGCGACGTGGAGTCCTCCTACTGTCCGGAGTTCAACGAGGAGTGTCGCAACTCTAGCTGCCGCCACTCCTTGCGAACCCACATCGCCCATCTGGACAATATCTCCAGCTCCAGCATGGACGAGCTGCTGGGTGCCATCATCGACATGGAGAACCTGTTCATGTCCATGCAGCGCGTTGAGGATGAGGACACCAAGAAGGTCTACCTGTATCTCTTTCGATTGCTGCGTCAGTGCGTCCTGACTCGCCAGCAAGCTGTGATCCGCGGTCCCCTGGGGGATCCTCCATTCGAGTCGCCCTGCATCACCAAGGCGGTGCTGTCGCTGGTCTTCTACAAGTACAACCACCTCAATCCGACTGAACTGCAAACCATGACCGAGGTGGCCAAGACTTTCCTCAACTTCCTGAATCACTACAACTTTGAATCGCCGTCGACGAGGCGGGGAGATCTCACCCACGAGGATGCCTCTAACTACAAGATCAACTACACCCGCTGGCTGGTCTTCTGCCATGTGCCCGCCTTCTGCAACTCCCTGCGTCAGTTTGAAACGTCCCTGGTCTTTGGGCGCACACTGCTGAGAACCGTGTTCCAGTACATGTCCCAGCAGCTGAAGAAGAAGTGCATCTCGGAGCGGGATCGTTTCCCCGAGGACAAGCGGTCGATCATCACGCAAATGCCCAAGTTCCTGGAGGCTCTGCGGGCCGAGCTGCTAAAGGACGATTCGCCGATCTGGGATCCCAACTACCGCCCGCCCAACTCGTTTGTCATCCAGCAGCGGAAAAGGCATCAGGAAGTAGCGCCCGCAGTAGCTCCCGGGGGGATTGTGGCGTCCGTGGGTAGCGCCAAACGTGCCAGTGTGGGCGAACCTCTACACAAGAGGATCAAGAAGGAGCCGACGGATCGTTCCATCAGGTTGGTTATCATGAAAGTCTTCCTTTGATTTCCATTCTAATAAGTTACATTTAGCGAGAACTTGGACGACCTGCCGACGGATGTGGTGATGCGCGCCATGAAATCGGTGTCCGAGTCGAAAACCACCAACAAAGCCGAGATACTGTTCCCGGTAAATGTATCCCGCGACGAGAACGTGAAGGCGGAGGAGCAAAAGCGAGCCATCGAGTTCCATGTGGTGGGCAACTCGCTAACCAAGCCGGTGGATAAGCAGACGGTTCTCTGGCTCCTGGGTCTGCAGCTGGTGTTTGCCTATCAGCTGCCGGAGATGCCGCGGGAGTACATCAGTCAGTTGGTGTTCGATACCAAGCACAAAACCCTGGCGCTTATCAAGGAAAATCAACCCATTGGTGGCATATGCTTCCGTCCGTTTCCCTCGCAGGGATTCACAGAGATCGTCTTCTGTGCCGTGACCATGTCGGAGCAGGTGAAGGGCTATGGCACGCATCTGATGAACCACCTGAAGGACTACAGCATTCAGCGTGGGATCAAGCACCTGTTGACCTTCGCCGACTGCGATGCCATTGGATACTTTAAGAAGCAGGGATTCTCCAAGGACATCAAGCTGGCGCGCCCAGTCTACGCGGGTTACATCAAGGAGTACGATAGCGCCACTTTGATGCATTGCGAGCTGCATCCCAGTATCGTGAATACACAATTCATAGCGGGTTAGTTGTGGCCATCAAAAGGTACTGCCGGACATATTTTACACTGAGTTTTCGCCTTTTCCAGTGATACGTAATCAGAGCGAGATCCTGAAGGAGCTGATAGCACAACGGCACAATGAAGTGCAGAAGGTTAGACCCGGATTGACGTGCTTCAAGGAGGGCCTGCCCTCCATTCCCGTTGAGTCGATTCCCGGCCTCCGGGAGATTGGCTGGAAGCCACAAATGCGTCCGGCACGATCGGCCCGACCCCTGGAGGAATCCTCCGATCCAGAGAAACTGGCCACATCATTTGCTTCCGTTCTGCAATCGGTGCGCCAGCACAACACGGCATGGCCCTTCCTGCGTCCGGTGACGGCGGCCGAGGTGCCAGACTACTACGATCACATCAAGTATCCAATGGACCTGAAGACGATGGGCGAGCGCTTGAAGAAGGGCTATTACCAAACGCGTCGCCTGTTTATGGCCGACATGGCCCGCATCTTTTCCAACTGTCGGTTCTATAACTCACCCGACACTGAGTATTATCGCTGTGCCAACTCCCTGGAGCGCTATTTCCAGACCAAAATGCGCGAGCTGGGGCTGTGGGACAAATGATGCAGCGATTCCGAGGAGCTTTGTATAAAACCGAATATTTAATCTTCTTCACTTAACCGGAGAGCGTTATTTCTCTTATATTTATTTTAGAGTTTCCTTCCAACCAAAAGACACTTGTGTGAATTGCATGAATTCTGGATTTATATATTGTTCTGAAGAGACACCCCTATATCGAGCTCTTTGTCAGTCTTATTTATTTAGACGACGGGCTAGATTAAGCTAGATCTTTAAAAAGTAAAATAAACTTTAACTTTATCATCTAATATGTACTGTTACTAATGGAATTGTTTGAAATAATATCGGAAATTTTATATTACAGTTTTTTGAGGGGTATAAAACTGTTAGTCAGAAGTTTGCAGAAGCGTTGCAAGGACCCTATAAAGTATATATATATATATAAAATCTAATACTATTTCCCATTTTCCATATAATTATATATATATAACTATATAATTTAACTTAGAAAATGGGAAATAGTATCAGATTTTAATTGTTCCTTTGCAGAATGTGCTAATTTTAGTTAGAAGCTTGCAACGCAGTAAAGGACCCTATAACTCATATACATTCTTGGTAAGTATAAAAATCGATATTTCCATGTTCGAGAAAAAAGTAGCTTCTTTTTTATTTTATAAGGTATAAATCCCAACACAGAAAATTATCCGAATTGAAACAAGTTCTTTTTGACTTAGTTTTAATCGGTTTTAAATTATGCCCCCCGATCCAATTGAGGACTTCATTGGTACTTGCTTCGGCTCCCCGAATTTAGCTTTCTTTTTCGTATCGACTTTTTATGCTGATATACATACAGCTCAAATTTTTACTTGTTTTTAACATATTTTGTTAAAAAAGAGTGCAATGTGGCTGTGCTAATTCCATAAAATCTATAACAGATTTACAATATTTCCCGCCCAACCAAAAAACTCCAATTTGGTTAGTTGATTTTTTTTTTTTTTTGTAACCTCTACATTTTTGTATTCTTAACTCTTTATTTCACTTTTGATTTCCTACATTCATTGTTGGTTTTGCATGCGTTTAAAGTTAAAGGATCTCTCTTTGCTTTCGTTTGGTTTTAGTAAACACGTTTGTTGTTCAATAATGTCGAGTTGTTATATAAAATTATAGTTTTATTTAATATTAGGGGTCGGGGGGAGTTAAATCGAATTGCTAGGTCATTATACAAAGGCTTTTTCATGCATCATACAGTGTACGCACATGTCCCATACGGATATCGCGACTGCATGGCCAAAATGTTACAATGAAAATGTTAACCGTAGTTGCTGCTTCTTGTTGAATTTCAATTATATTTTATTACATGGTTATTAAGTTGGGTTTTAATTTCAATACGTGGTAGTCTTTACAATTTTGCCTTGTTTAATCCATGATTTAATTTCGTTTTTTTTAACCCGATAATTGCGTATTTATATATACATATACATACATATGTAGAGCTAATCAGGGGTGAGCATATATATGTGGAGAGATATACATATTACATACAATTACATACATAATTTATGATTACATTATATTGAAATGTGTGTGGGTAGCTGCTCCTCGGCTCCTCCTGCAACTGATTCTGAGTGCTTACGTTTGCTATGCCCGGTTTTGTGCTGATTTTTAATACAAATATAAAGGATAACAAACAGAATATCTAAAATCAGGCTCAAGGACTTGCGACTGGAAACATATAAGTATGCCTGCTCACACTTCATACATCATTTACTTGGTTTCAAGGCCGCTGCGACTCCAATCTCAATCTTTACTTCGTGAACATCGCGATAAGTATAAATTCCATTGCAGGCGATTTGAAAATAATGTGTGTGTGTAAGCCCAACCGAGATCAAAAATGTAAGTTTACTTAGCTATTTCAAATGGATATTTTTCTGGTTAATTTTAAAATAATAATGATAAGCATGCTACTGGTTATTATCTTGGA